TCGCTGTGAGTCGGAACCGACTCCACAGCACATAACAATAACAAATGTTGTTGTTGCAGTCCTGGTGTGACACCTTAGCATACCCACTCGACCTCAAGGTCAGTTTGAACTGCAAGGTTGGGCAGTTCAAACTCACCAGCCAGTCCTCAGAAATCCAATGCAAGGTCGCTGTGACTCGATGGCATTTAACAACAACAACATGTTGGTTGCTGTGGAGTCAGTTCCCACTCATGCCAACCCCTTGTGTGGTTCAGCAGTGGTGGTGGCTGTGTGCCATGGAGTGAGTTCCCACTCATTGTGACCCTGTATGGGGTTTCTGACAATAAATGTTTATGGGAGCAAACAAAGCCTCATCGTTCGTCCACTAAGTGGCCGGTGGAGTCAAATAGCTGACCTTGCATTTATCAGCCCAGCGTGTAACCCACTGCACTACCAGAGTAACGTGTGGCATTTTCCTTGTTGTTGTTGTTGAGTGCCGTGGAGTCGGTTCCGACTCATAGTGACCCTGCACGGGGTTTCCGAGGCTGCAGATCTTTACGGGAGCAGAAAGCCTCATCTTCCTCCCGCGGAACAGCTGGTAGTTTCGAACTCCCGACCTGGAGGGTAGCAGTCCAATTCGTAACCACTATGCTACCAGAGGTGCTTTTTTCCTCATTGTGTACCTGTATTACTGACCAGGTGGTCATTGCAAAGCAGAGACTAACTTACTGTAGAACACCACTAGGTGTCAGCACAGCCTATGGAACTAGCTGCTTATTTGCCAGCCGTTCTTGACATGCGTCAATAAGTGGGTTTGTGTGTGTGTGTGTGTGTGTGTTTTATAACTTTTTATGGTGTGTTGAAGCAAGGTTTACAGATAAGATCACCGGTTTTACACTCAGTGTTTGGTTTCAGTGATTGCAATCCCCTCTATGCAGCAACAGTTGTCTGCTTTCTCCCTGTGGTTCCTAGTTCCATGCCACCTTCCCATCCCATCTCAACTTAATCCTGAGGGAAATGTTGCCCTTTTAACCTTGAGAGAAAGATACAGGGCAGATCGTCAGTTCTACATTCAACAGATCATAGACTTCGTTTCATTGCAATGGTTATACTCCCCTCCATGTATTTACTATGAGTTCTCAGTATTTCTCTCTATTCATTTTAGCTCTTTTTTTTGAACACTCAGGCATATATAATAATTTAAACCACCAAATGAATGACTGACTTTTCTATGATGAGCATACCTTACTACTGTTGCTGTCCTCGATATATACCTATCTACTCCCTGGCTGAAAATTGGGCCACAGGATGAGTTCAAGACCCGAAGGGTGGTCAAGGGCCATAGTCTCAGGATCCTGCAGTTTCTTTCTGACTAGTAAGCCTTGTCCATTTTTGTGTTTGTTTGTTTTTTCCAAATAATTTTGAGTTTTGTTCCATATTGCCTCCCCCTTTGATTTGGGACCTTCTAACGTGATTCCTTTAGAGCAGTTGGTAATGGTAGCCAGGCACCATCTAGTTCTGGTCTCAGAGTCGTGGAGACTAATGTACATATGTTCCACTGATCCATTGGACAAGCTGATTCCAAGCATCTTCGAATTTTCATTACTTTTCTTTCTTGAGCACATGGAGAGACCAAAGTTGTACCTGGGACAGTCCCTCGTGAGCTTTAAAATGTTTTTTAAACTTTTTATTGTGAGTTGAGTGAAGGTTTATAGATAAGGTTTGTAGATAACATATCCAACCAACTAAAGAAATTTCTAATGAACTGCACTTTTCTCAAGGCCAAGGTACTTATTTTTGAATAACAAATTCAATGTTCTTATTCACTAATAAAATCACCAATGCATGATTGGCAGTGGAATCATTATTTACTACTTAATTGTGCATATAGCCATAGTTCAAAAGAACTAGCCATTTTGCCACGGCAAGTTTCAAATGGTACGTGACTGAGTCAAGTAGTCCTCTGGAAAGAGCCCCTGTGAGCCCTGTGAGTGAACCAGAGATGCTATTGATCCTTACTCAGCAGAGGAAACGACATCAGGGCTATGTTTCTTTTCTAGACAGGTTTTCCTTTCAGAGCTATTACTGAGTCTCTTGTATATTCCCTTATTAAGATGCTGTAGAATAAACACTGGACTGCAAGGTCGGTTTGAACCATAAGTTCGGTGATTCAAATCAACCAGCCACTTTTTGGAAACCCTATACAGGGCCCTTAACACCAAGGAGAGTTCTCTAGTTTGCCTAGGATGCTTTGTAGGTACACCCCTCGGAGGCAATGTAAATTCTTCTTAGTAAGGAGAAGTATCAATACTAGGAAAAGAATCATTCAAGTTTATGAGTAACATATGATAAAGGACTTTTCACAGAGGATCTTATTGCATATATTATCAAAGCATGGGGGAATAGAATCACAACTTTCAGCAATTGAAAACTAAATATAATTTGAGTACTAAATATATGTCTTAAGGACTTTACAATAGTCTTCTTAATGATATTTGGCTATTATTGAAGGGTAAGGAAGGATATGTGTATGCAAGCAGTATTTCTAAGTATTGAAATACATCAATATAGCAATATGTAATTGATACTTTTCTTTTATTGTTTACAATAAACTAGTGGATTTCCATAAAAGTTAATTTTTTAGTGTGAAATATAAGCCCTCGTTCTATTCCTCATTGTTCTTGTTGAGTGCCGTAGAATTGGTTCCCACTCACAGCGACCCTGTCTAGTGTTTCTGAGGAGTGACTGGTGGACTTGAACCGCCTATGTTGAGGTTCAAACTGACCTTGCAGTTCAGCACATGATCCTGCAGCACAACACCAGAATTCCTCATTGCCTTCTGCAAAATCATTATACACCTTCCTACCTTATGATTGAGACATACCAAACAAATAACATTTCTCTTAATTGAATACTTGGAATTCAAATTGGAATAATGTGATTGCTTAATAAATGATGTAATAGATTAAACATCATATATACCACATTTTACATTTTTATTATTTTCATTTCAAGAAATTCATGAACATTGTTTAAAATTTAGATAATGCCAAAATAGATGGAGAACAGCAATTCTAATCCTTTCCTTAATGATAGTAGAAGTACTGCTATTAAATTTCTGAAATTTCTGAAAATGAAATTTCTGCCATTAAATTTATGTAAAATTACTTTGTTATTGCAAATCTAAAACTTTTATTGTCCCTAACAGTTTGTTTTTCTATTGGCACAATTGTTTAAAACAGGACTTTTGAAAATAAAAGATTTCTTCAGGAGTACTGTTCACAGCAGAATAGATTCTTATTTGCAATTTCCTAACTATACCTTGCTCTCTCTTTTTATATGTTACTTTCTGCTTAGAAAGCTAACCAGAACAAATCTCCAACCCTAACAGTTAACAACTCAAAGCTAATTTCAGGACTCAGCTCAAAGCTAATTTTTTTCTAAAAAGTCACTTCTAATTTTTACTTATTAATATCTAGCTTACCTTACAATATGGATGAATGCCAAATTTTTATATGATTGCTCATATCTGTATTCATTTGTAAGTTTGAGCTCTGTGTATGTGTGTGTGTGTGTGTGTGTGTGTGTGAGTGAAAGAGAGAGAGAGAGAGCTGCAGACTGGCTTTCAGCCTTTTTCCCTAGCTCAGTGCCTCCAACAGAGAGAAGCCTGTTTTCAACCTGTAAGTGGAATTTTTCTACAATTCTTTTTATGGAAGGGCCAGTCTTTCTAGGGCTCTAGGGTAGTGGATTATGAGCTGGGCTGCTAACTGAAAGGTCAGCAGATCAAATCTACCAGCCGTTCCACGAGGGAAAAATGAGACTTTCTGCTCTCATAAAGATTTACAGCCTCAGAAATGCTTTACAGAATCGCTATGAGTTGGAGCTGACCTGGTGAAACACAACCACAAATTCTGTCGAAGGGACTACCTTACACAGATTAAACTCCCTACCTCCCTTTCCCCGAAAATGGCATCCTTGCCATGCCACATCCCCACTCCAGCCTCATGACCTTTGGCCAGGTCTTGACCACATGCGATCCAGCTGATTCTGTTTAGTATGAGCTGAGGTCTGGACACCTGGCCCCTAGAGATTTTCCTTCTTTTTCTTGAAGAGCACTACGGGGAGTCTACTTTAACCAACATTTGTGCTCTGCAGCAGGAAGGGGTTCACATCAGTGCAGTTTGTCCTGTTACTGAAAATCCTGCCTTGTAGCAAGTGTAGTTGATTGTATCATACAGCAAACGCCTAACAGTTCCTCTGGATAGCTTCAAGATTGTGTACAAATCTGCATCAAGAAAACTATATATTAAAGGAAAAACAAGTTATTGCTGAGGCACATTAGAAGAAGTTATGTGTGAATATTCAGTAAATTTTTTCTTCCAAGTCTGTCTTCATCTGGTAGCTCATCTAAAACCTGTCCACCATGGGTGACTCTGGTGGTATTTAAAGTACCGGTGGCATAGCTTTCAGAATCACAGCGACTCACCAGCCACCACAGTACAACAAACTGACAGACAAGTGGTGGGGGTCAACCTTAGAGGCTATGTAATACTGACATTCATTTACACTGTGGTTTTTACTTGCTTGGTTTTGTGGGCTACATATAAGTGTTAAGAACATCTTTATTTGTTCCATAACCATGCAATATGAGGTTTCTGGTTTCTTTCAGGGACATTGATTTTAAGTGTTCAGATTTATAAATTTAAATTGTTTGGTCTATGCTACAGATCTGGGTCTGTGCCCACATCTGATGATTTATTGTGTCAAAATTATTTTCTTAAAATCCACACCCTACATAGGATAATACCTTGTGTTTATGCCAATCAGAAATGTTTATACTTTTTTACAAAAATGAAAGTTAATTCTGAGTTTTTTAATTTTCAGCCAGAAAATCTTGCTCAGAAGCTTCCAAACCTTGTGGAACTGTGAGTCTATTCTTAAAAATTATACAAGATTCAAATAATTTTTAATTACGTAAAGTAATAGGATCTACTTTTTTAATATATTAATTATTCTTTGATATCATGCTCATGGTGTTTATGTAGGTTGATCTCTGGTTCTCTTAACCTAATAGTATTTCAAAGTATTTTAACTTTTAAATTTGTGTTTGAAATATCTCACCTCAATGTAGGTTAGATGGTGAAAGATAAAATGCCCTGGACATAGAGTTTTGTAAAATAATCCTTTACAGATTATTAACTAATAAATGAATGTAATTGAGAAAATTTCTTATTATTTCTACTACTACTACTATCTGTGATACTTGATACAAGCAGCAAAACAGTATGGAAGATTTACAATATAAATTAAAATCTCCTGTGCACATTCTCCATACTTCATTTGTTTTACTTCTTCACGTGATTACCTTCTTAATGCTAAATAATGTCTTCACTTTTAAAGAAATACATCCACTTAAAATATCCATTGATTGATTTACAACTTAAGAAGATAAATCTACATATCTCATATTTACCTTTTTTCTTACCTGCTTCCTAATTTTGTAGAAAGAGAAGTTTGTGTTTCTGTTTCTTGTTCTTTAGCATGATTTTCAGGTGACAAAGGAAAGCTAATTTTATACTTCTGTCTTCAAGCTAAGGAGCTCTGGTAGCATAATGGTTATGAATTGGGCTGCGAACCACGAGGTCAGCAGTTTGAAACTACCAGCTGTTCCGCGGGAGAAAGATGAGGCTTTCTGCTCCCGTAAAGATTTACACCCTCGGAAACCTTGAACAGGGTCGCTATGAGTTTGAACCGACTCCAATGCATATAACAACAACGACATCTTCAAGCTAAAAGTCTGTAATTTCTTTTTTCTTCAAACTTTTATTTTGAAAAATTTCAAGCCAATGGAAAAGTTGAAAGCACATTTTAAAGAACTCTCATATTCCCTTTACCTACCTTTACCAATTGTCAATATTTTTGTCAAATTTGCTGTTTTCTTTTCTTCCTCCATCCTCTCTCTTGTGTATGCATACTTTACCTCCATGAATTATTTTAAAGTAAATTGCAGACATTATATTTTACCCTTAAATACTTTAGCACTTTTTTCCTAAGAATAAGGACATTCTAGCACATAATTTCAACATCATGTCATACCCCAAAACATTACTACTCATTCCATAATATCACCGAATATACAGTTAAATTATCTGTTTCCCAAAAAACAATTGTAAATGTCTGGGTTTGTCTGATTGTTGCCTCTTTTTTTTTAAATCTTATTGTGATGAAAATAATATGTAACTTGTGTGCCATTTCAACAACTTCTACATGTGCAATTCAGTAACACTGTTTATATTCTCCTAGTTGCGTGACCATTCTCACTATCCTACTATTTCAGACATAGCCTCAATGCTCCAGAAAAACTCTGCCTCCACCCTCCCTACTACCCCTGTTAGTAAACACTAACAATCTTTGTGTTCTAATATTTGCTTATCACATATACATGAAATCATAAATTTTTATCTTTTTGTGACTGGCTTATTTCCCTCAGTGTATTTTCAAGTTGCATCTCTAATTTGACATGTATCAGAACTTCATTTTCTTTATGGCTGAGTTCATGAGAGCCAAAATATGACCTTGAACATATCCCATCTGAATTTAGAGACTATCTCAAAAACAGATTTAATCCACTAGACGCTAATGACAGAAGACCAAAAGAGCTGTGGGATGACATCAAGAATATCATACAGGAAGAAAGCAAAAAGGTCATTAAAAAGACATGTGTTTTGTTCTATTGTGCATAGGGTCACTATGAATCATAACCTATTTGTCAAC